GCAGGTAAACTTTCAAAGAATTATAATTAAAAATCTACAGCTTTCCTTAATAATATAATAAGCTATTGTTTTTGGAATATTTAATAAAAATAATTTTTAAATATTTCGAGAATTCCTTTTATAAGGATTTCAAAATAAATTTGAGGATAGAATTGATTTAATAATCTTTTTGAAATAGGGATAACAAATTGATAAATAAATCTAAAAAAGTTTTTTAGTTTTTTAGGAATATTATAAAATCAGATTTTAGTATAACAAATAAAAGTTCAGATTTAAATATAATAAAATCAAAAGAATTAATAGAATTAGAATTTCTTTAATTTTATATAATAACAACAAATTATATTTTTTTAATAATCTTAACTTCTTTCAAAATATTAATAATCAAAAACAAATCAAAATTCAAATTTTCTTTCTTCAGAATAACTCGATTTTGATATAAAAAACGTTTATCCCTCTTTTTAGAGAAATTCTTTAACCTCCTAATTAAAATATTAGACTTAGTATTTAGTTTTCTAAAATAATAAATAATTTAGAAATTAAATTAAAATAAGAATTTAGATTAATAGATTTAATAATAATTTAGCAATTTTATTATTATAAAGTATTCTAAATTTTTATAATTCATAATTATCTGAATTAGAAACAATATATCTTTTAATTCAGAATATTATTTTTTAAAGCAATAAATAATAATTAGAAGTTTTTTATTATAAATCTTATAATTATATTCAATAATAAAATACTTTTTTAAAAAGAATATTATAAATCTAAAAATTCCTTTTTTGTTATATTGAAAAAGAATTCTAATAAAAATATAATTTAATATATCGATTTTCAGAATTATCTTTTTTTTTAAATTAAAAAAAATTAGAATAAAGGTTTTAATAAACATTTTCTTTAATTAATCAAAAGTGTTTTGATAAATAATATTTTATAAAAATAGAATATTCTTTTTAATTAGATTTATTATTGAATTAATTATCTTTGAGAAATTCTTAATAAATTATCAATAAAAATTTGTAAACTCAATAAATATTTATATATCAATTATAATATCAGACAATTTCTAGTTTATAATAATTCTTATCTTCTTTAGATTTATTCAAATATTTTTTTTTTTTTATAATTAAACTAAAAAAAGTAATTTCAGATTTTAGAAATTCATATTTTTCGAATTTTGTAAACAAATCAGTTTTTCTTAATACTTACAGGATTTTTTGAATATAACAAATATATTCTTTTCGGGTACAATTATATATCAATATATTATTCAGGTATATAATACAGAATATATTCAAATATCCATACAAAGAGTTATTAATAAATCTTTAGAATATAATAGGTGCCTTTATTAGTTTAAATAATATAATCAGAAATTCGAATAGATTGAATTAAATATAGAATATAATAAAATATTTTTGTTTTTTCTAAATTCTAATATTATTAAAGGTAGAGATAATATTGATTTTATTAAAAAACTTTATTCCCTTTAAATTATTCAAAAATTCTTTAATCAATAATAATAAATATTAATTTTTTATGGATAGATTATTTAGGGTTTTATAATTAATATAAAAATAAAGTTTTTATTAGTTTTCTTAATAAACAATAAAAAGAATATAATAAATAAAAAGCTAAAATAGATAAATCCTTTTTTCAGATTTTTTTCTAATTATTTTTTTAGAACTTTAAATTCAATTCGGGATATAATATATAAAACTCCAAAGAGTAATACAATTCCTTTTTGAAATCGGATTTTATGGTTATATAATCAATATAATAATAATTTATTAGTATTTTATAAAAAAAATATATTTTTCCAATTTCGGAATTCAAATAGAAGATTATTCAAATCAAATTCTTTTTTTTTATTCAGAATATTATTAATTTATTTAACAAAAATCTGAAATATTTTATATTTTCAATAAATATATATAAAATAGATTTTTAAGGAGATTATAGCTATATTTCAATTCTTGAGGTTTTTAGAGTGATTAGGTAGATATACAAATTGGGTTTTCAAAAGAATATTGAAAAAAGCTTTTATTTAGAATGAATAGAATAAAATATTATAAAATTTATAATAATATAAATTATTAAATTGAAATAAGTTTATTATAAAGTTGATATAGGGATTGTATTTTTTAAGTTAGACTATACTTAATATTATAAGATAATGAGTTAATTTGATTTAGAGTAATTCTTTTTTTAGAATAATTATTAATTCTAAATCTAATATGGATATAGAATATAATTCGATTTCTAGATAAAATTTTATTATTAAATTCAATAACTTTGAAAATAGCAGATAATTTATATTCAAGAATCTTTTAGAATAATATTTAATTTCAATTAATAAAAGCAATTCCTTTATAATTATTATTTATTATAATATAGATTAAAAGAGTATTTTTTTTAAAAAATAGAATAATAAATAGAATTATTAGATTTATGTGATTATTTAATTTATTTTTTAAAAGTAATTCTTAAATAATAATAATGAATAAATAAAGTTTACATAAAGAATTGCTTTAATAGCAATTTAAATCAAATAAATTTTGTTTTCTAATTTAAACAAATTAATTAAAAAATAAAATAATAATTATAACAGAAAGTAAAATAGGAATTGGATGGATATTTTGTTTTTTAATAAACTTTTCAAAATAAAATTATATTTAGAAAAACTAAAAATCCTAATTCTAAGTTAAATAAAATAAATATTAGAATATAGGCAATTATAAATCAAATAATTAATAAAATTATAATAATAATATTCTCCTTTTTTTTTTTAGAATAAATTATTATTAATAATATAATATTAAAAGCTAAGATTTATAGAATTTTTTTTCTAGATAAATAAAAAAGTAGTTTTATTTATATAAAAAGATTAAATTACAAGATTATAAATAGATTTGGATAGTAAAATAGAAATCTTTTTTTTAATAAAAATAAAAGTAATAGAATAGTTTTGAAAGATTTATTATTAATATTAATAAAATTAATTATCGAATTATTATAAATAAACAGAGTATTTTTGAAAATTATAAAATAAAAGCAGATTATAAAATAATATATTTTATAATTCTTAAAAAATTTCTTAGAATAATAATAAAATTAGAGTATTATTAGATATTTTATTTTTTAAAACTAATTTCTAAAACTCGGCAAAATAGATATTGAAATTAAGACATTTTTGTTTAAATTAGTATAATTGATTTTGAATATTCTATTTATAATTAAAATCCTTAAAAGTATTTTTTAAATATTTCAAAAATAGATTATAATTAATAAATTATAAAATATTGTGAATAATTTTAAAAAGAATTAATTTATAAGCTTTTTTAATAAATCTTTTAATAATATAAATTAGATAAATAAAGATAATAAAAAAATGATTAGAGTTTATATTTATTTTTATATATATCTATTAAATAAATTTTTATAAATTAAATTAGGAATTATCAAATTCTTTAGAATTAGAAATATATTTATTCAGGTGGGTAGTAGTGGATAGGATAGGTATAATAATATTAAACAGATCGAAGATAGATTTAATAAATATTGTTTTAGAAGGTATAATAGGAATAGATATAAATTTAATAAAGCGATTGAGTAAAAGGATATTCTATATAACAATTTATTTATATAAAAAAGCTTCAATATATTTCTTAATAAATATTTTTTGAATTTTGTATTTGAAGAATAAATTAATTTCTTTTAATTTAGTAATATATGTAGTTATTAATTAAAAATATTGATATCAAACTTAAGGATTTTTTGCTATAACTATATTAAGCTTAAAAATATTCTTTGGGTAATTAGACAGGTATAGAACTAATATTATTATTGTAATAATATTAATAAAAACTATATAATATTACAAAATAAATAAATAGAATCAGAAATCTATATTCGATAATATTAAAAATAATAAGTATAAAGTATAGATTAAAATATAATTTAAAAAACTATAATATAGAATCTTCCAATATAAAGATATACAGAGTTTTCATTTGTAAGCTAGTCTAACAAGGCCTAGCTTATTGCTTATCGGTCACGTATATCCACACCGTGACAATTATACGATTATAGAAATATATAATATATATTAAAAACTAGCGGTCTATATTAAACAATCGAATTTTATTATTATCTATTTCAAAAAGACTCTATAATAAGACTAGATTTCAGATTAGATTTTACAACGAGAAATGTAGATGTAGTGTTATTAGCACTAAATCATGTCTGAAACCGCTAGATAGCTAGCTAGCTAGCTCGCCAGATCATGTAATCATTGAATCTATCATGATAACTTCAGATTCAAGAACATTACGGATAATTGAGACATGATATTATTATAATGGATATAATCAGATTCGAAGATATAGTTAATATATATTGGATTTTATACTCGAGCATACCTACCTAGTTACATGAAGTCAGACATTTTCTGAGTTCCGGGCCGACGTCAAGTGTTGGCATTCTAGGGTCCACACAAATGTAAGATCTTACCTAGTATATTTTAAGGTTGCGATCGACAATGCTTGGTATGATCTTACGTCGGCAATCGATGATCTTTGAGCAGGGCTGAGATAGAATAGACTAGTGTGGTTAGCTCGGATGGGTGATCTTCACTTCGCAGCGGTCAGAATGCATGGGATGTTGTATTCATCGTGTATGTTATGATTGGGAATCTCGTGGGTTTACTACGGGAGCGGGATGGGCTAGTTTGTAGACCGCATGGTATTCGCGGGCATGGATTGAAACATGTTGTGTAGATGAGGTGGCTGGGATGGGTGATCGAAGGGCACCAGGGGCTATGTTTGTTAGACTTGGGTGTAGATTGCGTTGATGTGAGGTATGTATTCAATGGTATCCCCGAGATTTTAGCAAGATATTTGCATAAATAGTGTGTTCCCTATTCAATTTACCATTCTTCGAATCGAGTATCAAATTACACATATTGATTTCCCATCATCACAATCATCCTTTACATAATGGCTTATTGCGAGGAAAAAATACCATACGAAGACAATCTACATGCTGCTCAAAATCAACATGGAAATCCATTCTCCAGCTACAATACCACCTCCACAATACTCTCTGATAACGAGATTCTTTCCCAAGCACAAGAATCCATCCATCACAGTCCACCACCCGATTACTCACATCCAAAACTTCCCCGACCTATCGCAGTACCACAAATCGTGCCTGGAATCGGAAAGCCATTCGCTCGCATGTACGCACCCGCACTCTCTGACTACAACCTCAACTCGCAAGATTTTGTGGAATTCATTGATAATCTAAATGTCGTCGCCGGCGAGAACCCGCCTATACAAATTATCGATCTAGTGGGTGATGCACTAGACACGATATCATATCACTGGGCACAACTCACCGAAAGCGGCGTACAGATCCCCACACACCTAGGGAGCGCAGCCGTGACCAAGAGCAGAACAGATACTTACATACAAAATGCCAATGCGAAGATTTTTGCTCCTCGAGGACTGAAGGCTTCGATTGCTACCATGGAAGCTATGGCTGCTGTATTACAGCTACCGCCTGATACACTGAGATCAATTACAGTGACTGATGAAAACACCTATGCTACTGTTTTGGAAAGACGGATGAGTGCAGTAAGACCATATGTGATGGAAATAACACTTGATGTTCCTCCACCAGCTGCACAAATGAATGAAATGGCCCAGATGAGCGCGGCGCAAGTAGAGAGACAGATATTTCGGAATGACAATCGAGCCCAGAGAGAAGAAAATAAGATTACCGCGAAGAGCGATAAGCGGGAAAACAAGGCACAGAGAAAGATCGAGAAGGTAGAAAGAGAAATGAGGAGATTGGATTTTGGAATTGAGAGATCGCAAAGAGAACTTGGGGACTTGAGATCTAGAGAACCTGATAAGAAAGCGGATAAGACAGAGCGCAAATTGGAAAAGGAGAGGAGAAAGCTAGAGGACGCGAAGGGGAAATTAGATTATACAAGAGGTGAGAAGAATGAGGGTGTGAGTGATGGAGGGAGAGAAGGTAGGAGAGAAATTGAGGATAGCAGGACAAAAGATAGGAAGGCATATAAGGAGGTGAGACGGTCAAAGAAGATCTTGTGGATCCTGATTGAGAATCTATAAGAGCCTTCTTAATTGGAAGTCAAAGGGGATTCTTTTGTACACAAAGCCGCTAGCTTTGGAAGAGCTCGTGTTCGATTCTCATTGTCAAGTTCATCAACGAGCTGATAGTTGCCGCTACAGATACTGCGATGTATTGATAGACTTCATACTCTCCTAGTCTGCCCGAATGTAATCTGAACCGAATGACCGAGAGAAAATTTGAATACCTACTGAAAGGCACTCCATGCATTTGAGACCACATGAATGTTCTGGTTGTGTTTGGAAATTTTAAAGTTTCTCTTATTTAACCTTATAGATTATAGTTCAGGCTATTGGAAACTCTAAAATCCATGATTACTAAGCATAAATCGATTGATATCAATACAATCATCAATCTAATCAGATATTCTCCTGATTACCTCGCTGGTGCAATCGAAACATTCTCTGAAATAACATTTGCTTCTTTCAAATACGGGAGGTTGCGTTGCTTATATCACTGGTGATACTAGAGCTAGTGATCATCACGGAACTCGGTGTGAAATACTCCAACCAATCAACAAGCTCTTCGTCGCGTCTCCTGAATTGTCGTACAACTCCGTCTCTCATCTCATGTTAACCAGAGAAATTGTTTCGAAAGAATAACAATTGAAGTATCCTATGCAGCAATTCTCATAATGGCGCCCAACGCAACTGCTCTACCTCTTCCATTTCACCCTTATTATCCTCTAGATCTCGAAATTCCACATTACCTGGCCAATCAATGGGATACTTTTACATTGGTCTCGATATTCGCTGCAGGATGCGCTGCCATTTTCTCAAGTACTTATTTACTGGTGATGAGAGTGAGACCACGGATCTCAACAGCTGATTTAGTGACGGTTCTCTGGTTTGTTTTATGTACATCACCCTCTGAGATCTCCATCTGCCATGAGAAAAGCTAACGAAGATTCCCAGGTGGTTGTATTCACCTCTTCTTCGAAGGATATTATGCCTACAATTTTCGACGCATGCCACTCATGCAAGATCTCTTCGGCCAACTCTGGAAGGAATATTCACTATCTGATTCGCGATATCAAACACAAGATGCTTTCGTTCTCTGCATGGAAACCATTACTGCAGTATGTTGGGGCCCTTCATCATTTATCCTCGCGGCCATGATTGCGACGGATCATTCGCTCCGATATCCATTGCAGGCAATCATATCGTTGGGTCAATTGTATGGAGATGTATTGTATTATGCGACATGTTTATTCGATTTCTATATATTGGGATTGGAGTACTCAAGACCGGAACCTGCGATTTTCTGGGGATATTTCGTTTTCATGAATTCTTTTTGGATTGTGATTCCTTGTAGTAAGTTTTTGATGGCCAGAGATGTGGTCAAGAGTAACTTCTAACAGCTTGCAGTACTTCTGTTCAATAGTGTAAAGGTAACTGGTAGAGCATTCTCGGCGTTGAAGAAGATGGAAAAGACATTGAAGACAAATACCAACGGCAATGGTTCTGTGAAGAAGACGATATAATCGGAAGCATATAACCGGGCGGTTTACCTCGGCATATAATTACAAGATCACTCAACAGTTGGATTGCTCAACTATTGGTCCAATGGATTGAATGATTTGGTTATCTCAACCTTGAACCTTCTGTATTCACTTCGCAATGCAATCAACCGTTAGGTTACCCCACCATGGGATTACAAATACAACTCCTTCCATTTCGGGATTAACAATCTAATGTTATAATATATAAAAGCTTCAGAACTCCCTCAGTTGTCTTTCCTTTCTTGGTACTCTCCATCCTTGACTCCGTATTTCCTGTCCAATCAAACCGACCACAATTGAAAATGTCTCCATACAAAACCCCCGCTCAGAATCCCCCAGCGGGAACTGCGTTATCAAAAGATCCGCCAACCCTATTTTCTCCACTCACCATCCGCGATGTCACGTTTCAGAATCGCATCTGGGTAGCTCCTATGTGCATGTACAGCGCGAACGACGGACACCTTACTGATTTCCATCTTGTACATTTGGGTGCCTTTGCTTATCGTGGAGCGTCTCTCACTATTATTGAAGCTACTGCTGTCCGCCCTGAAGGTCGCATTTCTCCCGGTGACGCAGGCTTGTGGGAAGATGCCCAGATAGAGGGATTTAAACGGGTAGCGGACTTTGCTCATGGTCAAGGACAGAAAATTGGAATTCAATTGGCCCATGCGGGAAGAAAGGCTAGTACGTTGCCTCCTTGGATGGGACCTAGAGGGAAGAGTGCTGTTGCGGAAGAAAAGGATGGAGGATGGCCTAAGAATGTTAAGGGAATGAGTGCGTTGAAATGGGGTGAAGGGTATGCTGAGCCTAATGAAATGACACTTGAAGATATTCAAGATGTCATCGACGGATTCCGTGATGCGGCTAAGAGAGCTGTTGCAGCGGGAATCGATGTGATTGAAATTCATGGTGCTCATGGATACTTGTTGCATTCCTCTCTGAGTCCAGTTACAAACAAACGAACCGATCAGTACGGAGGAAGTTGGGAGAACAGAATTAGATTGTTGATTGAGACGATCAAGGCTGTGAGAAGTGTCATTCCAGAGGGGATGCCTTTGTTGCTCAGAATCAGTGCTACAGAGTGGTTGGAAGATGTGGAGAGTTGGGATATTCCAGATACTATCAAATTGGCAAAGTTGCTTCCAGCACTTGGTGTTGATTTACTCGATGTCAGTTCGGCAGGTAATTCACCAACCCAGAAGATCGGAATGCATACAAATTATCAGATTTCTATTGCTGGGGAGATCCGTGCAGCGTTGTTTAAAGAAGGGATCAAAGATTTAAAGATTGGCTGTGTCGGTATGATCACAGAAGCTGAAGCCGCAAAATCTCATTTGGAGGATGAACCAACTACATATCCAAATGCAGGAGAAACAGTAGATGTTAAAGATGAACAAGGAAAGATCGCAAAGGCCGATATCGTCTTGGTTGCTAGACAATTCATGAGAGAACCTGAGTGGGTTTTTAGAGTCGCTTATAGATTGGGCGTTGAGGTTCAATGGCCTGTTCAGTACTTGAGAGCAGGCTTCTTGAAGGGCTCTGTTATTTAATACAGGATAGATGGATAGTACTTATAGATATAAAGTTCTATGATATATATATATAGATCGCTCTTATAGAAATTCTATCTTATTCTATACAAAGTCTAAAGTCTAAAATCTATGGGTATAAAAGCTTTGCCCTCCCACCTGAATTTACACTTCAAAACTGAAAGATCAATATTGCGCCTCACTAGTTTCAGCACCAATTTCCCAGCTCATAAACTCAGCATGCCCTCCACCTCCTCAAACTACAGAATTGACCTTCTCCCCCTTCAAATATCCTTCAAAAATCTCAGCAATAGCCTTAACACATTTCTCCTGACTATCCCTCCCAAACCAAGCTACATGAGGACTAACAATCAAATTTCTCACTCTCTCCTCGCCCTCTCCCCTAACCAACGGACTCCCTCCCTTCTCCACCGGTTCCCTCTCAAAAACATCCGTCGCCGCTCCCAAAATCTCCCCCTCATCCAGCGCCCTCGCCAAATCCGCCTCATTCACCACTCCACCGCGGGCTACATTCACAAGAATAGCATCGCGACGCATCAGCGATAATTCAGGCGCGGCGATGAGATTCTTGGTCTCGGATGAGAGAGGACAGGAAAGAATAATGGTTGTGCATTGAGTGAGGATGGAGGAGAAGGCGGTTCGACCGGCGCGTGCTTGCGCTTGGGGAATGGATTTGCGCTCCGAGATGAGTACTTTCATTCCGAGAGCGGTGCAGAGATTGGAGATGGCGAGGCCTGGGGTTTGGGTTAGTCTTTTCTCGGTCTCGTTTATGTAACTCTGAAAATTGCGAAACTCCTTATCCAGAATTCGACCCGACGGATCGGATCGGACTTCAGTTTTGCTGCATTATTACTTCGTTCTTGAGATTCAATGTCACGTTTCAAGAATTCTTGTTTCTCTCATCTCAACAACTATATCGCTGCAGGATCGATTCGAGTATCCCCGCAATCAAGAGACGAGAAATGTCCCCGAAACCAAGAGTCACGAAAACCTTCCCATCCCATTCCTCCGAAAAGCAAATAGTAACAAAATTAGAACAAAAAAATCACTCACCAATCTTCCCACCACCCACTATCCCCACAACCTCACTTCTACAACTCCTCGCGCCACCACCCTCCCAAGTATTCATTCCCAGAATGCCCGTTCCCCGGCTCGCCCACTGCTCCGCCTTCATCGTCCACTCATGCAAACTCACCACATCTCTCTTCACCGCAAAATAAAGCGCCACCGCGTGTTCCGCCACCGTTTCCGTATTCGTATCCGGCATATTGGAGACGCGGATATTGTTTTCAGCGCAGTAGGCGAGATCGACGTGGTTTGTGCCGACGGAGGTGATGATGATGAGTTTTAGTTGGGAGGGGGGGAGCAGCGAGAGGGTTTCGCGGGTGAGCGGACAGAGGGAGGTGAGCAGGATGGTGGCGGGGAGGATGCGCGGCGTGATTAGGGGGAGGGGCGTGTGTGGGTAGGCTGTGTATGTGTGTGGGGCGGGGAAGAAGTTGGAGGGGAGAGGGTGGTAGTTGGAGTCTAGGTAGACGATGGATTCGCCGCTTGGAGCGGGCGGAGCGGACATTTTGGGGAGATTGGGTTGGGTTGGAACTGTGATATCACTGGATATGATGAGGGTTGTGAGAGCGGAGGATGTTGATGGAAAGGGTTTTTATGATGTGGGGTGGAAAATGCGGGGTAGGAAGATAAGATATAAAATAGATGAGAAGTATGGAGGATTGTAAGAAATAAAGTGAAGATACCGATGCACATGCACATGTGATTCGCCAGCAGGCACATATATCTTACACCGATAAAACGAGTCAAAACTTCCCAATGACCTCAATAGACTTGGCGCAAATCCTGTGGACGATGTGACCACTATCAGTTAAATAAATCCCCACCAATCAGCCATTAATATCATGTCTGGGAGAAGTTTCATAAAGCAGGACCGCACGCAACAGTCCTTACGAGTTGCAATTATTATTAATCCAGAAATCCAAGATAGATGAATATTACGCCCAAATGTAATCTAGGATGATAGACCGATGCCTAGAGTACATTTAATGACAATGCGAAGAATAAATGTACAGAAATTCAATGTAAACATTCAAAAAAAAATTCACCCGATCAGTCCGGAAGAATGAGAGGTTCGCTTGGAGTGTAATGATGCAATGTCAAACAAAGTCTCCTATTTTGATCTACTACATGCTCGCTTAGAACACCACTGTGATTCCTATTCACCATCTATTAAATAAAATCTTTTAGCTCGTTCTCAAAGACCTTGTTTCTGGTCTCTTATGATTGTTTTTCTCTTTATAAATTAATATCTGACTATAAATGTAACTACAGTACCTATCAAAAAACAATAGTATTTTATTAGATGAAAATAGTAATCAAATCATATAAATAATATAATCATTATTATCTAATATCATTTTGAACAAAAGAGTCCGCATAATACGCCATACTATATCCAAATAATGAACATGCTAATGAAGAATCCCATTTTTGATTCGCTCCAAATCACACCTCAATCTCGCAATGCCTTGCTTCATATCACGAGACCCTAGTCCCCAGATTTCCCGTACTCAAGAACCCTTTGTTCCCCATAGCACCTCTCCACCCTATACTCAACACGCCAAATATCAACCTTCCATCTACAATTTCGCTTTCTTTCCCCCCCTCTATACTATCCGCAACTTCACCATCATCCCCAGGAACTTTCTCTTCAACCAAGAAGCAAACCTGTCGAATGTCTCCTGGTGCTAATACAGGTCTCTCCAATTCCACATCTCCTCCATTTTCCTTTTCTGAATCAGATAGTACAATCTCCCAATTCAAGCTCGTAGCATTGAATCCTTTGGTCGTGGTCAAATGAACTAAAGTCAATGTAATAGGGTTGTCTTCTGTGATGTTTTCTAATTGGGCTTCTAATGCATATTTCTTGGATGAAGAAGTATTGGTAGATGTAGATTTTGGAAAAGGTAATGGTCCGATTTTGGTACGGACCACGAGACATCCTTTACAGATGAACTGATATAGCTTACGAAATGTGCGAGTACGTGGAGGAGAGGACGGAGAGGATTCGGTATATGTTACTGTAACAGCCAGAACATGAGAACCTTCTTCTTTGAGATCAAAATGAAGAACCTTCTGTAATGAACTCTGAGATATGATTTCTGCCTGCGGGGGTTCTTCCCCTGAGGTTGTAGAGACCTGTTGGGAAGACTCAGGACCGGAAAGAGGGAGCAATATCGGAGTTGGTGTGGAAGGAATCTTCATTTCAGCAGTGAGAGTAATATTTGATATTATTTTCGTGGTATTGGGCGAGTTTGTGATATCCGGAGAGGTATGAGTTTGAGCGGGTTGAGAAATAGGAGAAGGGAGCTCATTGTTAGCGCAAAGAGTACAACTGAATGTCTCTCCTACATATGCAGATCCAAAAGCTGGAGGGAGTGTGAGAAGAGGAGAGAGAATAAAGTTCGAAGGGGTGGGAGATGGATATGAGAGGGAGGCTGAAGGAGCGGGAAGGCTGAGATTTAAAGGTGGTGAAGGAGATGGTGTGGGAAGTGGATGTTGAATTGAAAGCGATGGACGGGAAAGTCTGTTGTAGCATTTAGTATTTAACACAACTTTTACAATCGAGCATAGTCAGTCGCAGGAGAGACTCAAATACTACATACCTCAAAACCTTCAAACTGACAGAATGTGGTTCTTTCACTCCGTCCAAGGTCGAGGTAGTTCGTTGATGCGACATATTGAAGGGTGTATACGTGTCTCGTGCTTATCTCAAGGATACCATGGATCAATGCCTACTCACACAACGAATACAACCGCCACGAGCGTTTTAGTTGTCTGTTGTAAGGATCCCGTTTTCAATTGTAGGTTTTGAAGTCCAAATCATACAAGGTCTAGAATCGAACAAGGCTGAATGTCCAGACAGACGCTCGATTATTTACTGCCGTCTCCACCGCCTTCTTATCGCTGGTTCCTTACCTTATCGATACGCCGCGGCTAAAGTTTCACATCCTTTCACTCGTCATCACATTTTTTCTTACATTTTCACTCAAAATTACGAAAATCAATTCAAATCCCATCAGACCAATTTTACTCTATAAATCCCTGAAATAAAGATGGGCGACGCTGGTCCTTCGACACAGGAGCCTTTTCAAAGGTCTACTCAAGGAATTCCATTAGCTCGCTCCACCGGACTTATGCTAATCCTCGATACTCCCAAAGGTAATGACGATAGGTATCGATACCATATCCACGACACTCCCACCTCACACCTAAAATAAACAACCATTTACACCAAATTGCAACTTCATTCTTCACAAATCAAGTATCGCTAATTCCCGTTCCAATAGGCCGAGGAGTATTTGCCTCTCAAGACATTCCCGCCCGTAGCGTGCTAGAAGTATGCCCTGTTTTAGTTTTAGATCTCAGTGAGAATGAAAATCACATAAAAAAGACGGAATTGTATCATTATACGTAGTGAGTTAGCCTGGTTGCACTTTTACATGTTAATAAGAATCCACATAGGTTCATTTGTGAATAAGTCTTGCTGATAAAGATGGTTTCTAGTAACTGGCCATATAAACCTAAGAGTCCTATTGAGGGCTCAAATGGGACGACAAAACCACCTACCACCACCCAAGCCGTGATACTTGGGCTAGGTAGTATGTTTAATCATTCAACATTACATCAAAATGTTGGATGGGAGAGAGATGTTCACAATCTCCTTATAACCTATACTGCACTAAGGGATATCAAAGAAGGAGAAGAATTATGCATCTCATACGGATCAAGGTTGACATTCAAGGACACTGAGGCAGATGCGCTGAATGAAGTTGAGGACGAGAATGAATTATTAAGTAGAATTGAGTTGATTGATTGACCATTACTTTCCCATTTTCAATGCGTAATGCTACCTATAATTGAGAACATTTTCAATGTTCTTTTTGGAGAGAGACATGACCCTTCTGGGCCTGAATGCTCTCAATGTACTCCAAAAGATGTAAGTACAGGTAAGAAGTATCCATAAGTTTCGTCATTCAAGACCTGGAGCAATTTAAGATTCTCATAGACACAAAAATTAAAAGATAGCATTTAAAATCCAGGTGGAGGTGGAACGGCACTATAACCGTTATTACTTCCTGGTGGTGGACCTGATGGTGGGGGAGGAGCCTATGTTCTCAAGGTTAGTTTCTCTCAAACTATAATTTGACTGCCCCTTCCAGTCGGGGAGAAGGACAGTCTTGCAAACCTAACTTCTACAAAGGAACTCGGTTAGGAATATATAAAGTGAGGAAATAATATACATACCGATCCACCTGGTGGAGGTGGGGGTGCCTCGTTAGGAGGTGGAGGAGGGCCTGAGCCTGGAGCACCTTGTTGTTGCTGCTGATATTGAGCCATGGCTGCCATGTACTGTTGATAATATTGAACATATGCCTCATACCCACCATATTGAGCATAAGGATCAGCATTCGAACCATAATATTGAGCAGCTTGGGATCCATAGTCTGCAGGGGTTGAAGGACTGGCTGCATTAGGAGTGTTGGGAGCTGGTGATTTGTTGTAGTTATTGTATCCACCACCGCCACCATACGAGTTAGACCTATCTGGGGCGCGATCACCGTAGCCTCGCTCTCCTGAATAACCGGTTTGACCGCCATAACCACGTTGTTGAGGTGGACGAGCCTTGAACTCTTCATATTGCTCTCGAACATTCTTGAGAAGATCCTCACAGAGCTCTTTGGCTTTTTGTACCTCATTCGGATCCGGGCCACTAGAAAAATGTCAACCAAGTGTCCGAGCAGAACTGAACTTGCAAACTTACGCGACGTGAAGATACATATCTTCATCACTCTCACGACCGGTGCCATGTTCCATGAAACCAGAACCACGTCCCTTGATTTGAACACGACATCTAGTTTCCTGTTGGATGTGCTTTACGTAAGCTCCACCGTGGCCAACAACTTGAGCACGGAGGTTAAAGCCTTGAATGGGTTCAAAATCAATAGGAATCTTCTCCTCGGGCCATTTGCGCTAGAACTTTTGTTAGCCACCAAAATTCATGTTGTCTCGAACGAAACTTACTCTGCCAAATTCATCTCTCTCAACTTGCTCAGGCTCGCGTCTACGGAACCGACGTTCGTCAACTAAGTTAGGGAGCTCCTGCTTCATTAGTTCTTCGATCTTTTGAACGGCTTGCTCGAGGCCTCGCTTTGTTTGACTTGTAACGTGGAGATACAATGGGGGATTCTAAGCATATTATCAGCTCGCTTTCCTCAACATCCAAGTTGATAAATTGACTTACAGCAGCCGTAGCCATGCTTTTATCCGGGTAATAATTTCCTCGCGTGGTGACATCTTGAAAAGTCAATATTAAAATCTCTAAAACAAATGGTGGGTTGTAGGTATTGCGTACCAGCGCCGGTTTCTTCCTTAATCTAAATGTCACGCAGCGGAGGTTAGCAGATGCCAAAAGGGTGTATGTGTATGGTGCTATTCGCGCTTCAGGTAAGCTTGAAAATCTTCCCACACAATATGATTTTACTTTGAAAGGGGGTGGGAGGAAGTATAGAGATGATTCATGGCTAGACCTATGAAGAAAGCCTGATGTATCAGTGGAGTATAACACAAGGAGTATTTACCATCTTTTGAGTAGAACCTTTAGTAAGTGTATAACGGTTTCGCAAATCGTTGACTTCGATGTCTTTGATATAATCGCCATCTGCGATATACATCTCACCATTTATATTGCTTGCGCTGTTACCTGCTCCGGCTCCTGGAGATGCTGACTTTCCGACTGGACTTTCAGCTGCGCGAATGGGTGGCACATCGGCATGTTGAATACCTTTCTTAGCTTGAATTTGTGCATTGATTTTTGCAGCAGCGGCAGCTATAGTATTCAATTAGCAAGTATTCATGTGGCATAGTTCCAGGATGGGTATGTACCTGCTGCTGCAGCTGGATCTGCACCTCCTTTCTTTGCAGATTCCGGAGCCGGGCTACGAGAAGAACGACGGCCGAGGGGAGACCTGCTTCGTCTTGCATCTGCCTTTCTCGCAGGTGGTGATCGCGAACGTCTATCGAACCTTGAGGTTCTCTTCGGCTCAGGTTCCTTTTGATCGAAGCGCGAACGCTTTGCTGTGCGACGTTCAGTATCATCCATATTGATAATTAGTGAAGCTTGTAAAGGTTGAAGTAAATATTGTTTGTAGTAATGTGAGATGAGATAATGGGTCTCGAATTGTAAACAGATAACTGTCACAATTGATTGTAACAACTACTGGTACCCAGTAAATTTATGAGGCTGAACTTTATTTCGAGTTTTTGTGCTGTTTGTTCGGTGACAAGGATTTCGTGCACCGACATAAACTCCAAGACACTAAAATATCTGGGGTTGATACAAAGATCGGCAAATGCCGTATAGAAACAAATTCAACCTTTTTGTGCGGTATCGGGGCTTGCTTGAACCTAGACCGTCACTTCTTCTGAGTCAAATTGTTTAATCCTTCTCAGTTTTTTGAGATAGGAATACAACCGTTAATAATCTCTCAAGAAGTATTGGATAATTTCATTTATTCAATATGGCTTCACGCAAAGCTGTTCTCTCGCTCTCTGGAGTAAGGGCAGCAATCCCTAAACGCAGTACTTCTATTACCCCTCGACAAATTCAAAGATATCAATCCTCTTCTACTTCAGCTCTAGAATATAAGGCACTTCACCGTCGCATCTCACCTCTTCCTACGTCCGATGCTCCTCCAGCATGGTCAGCACAAGCAGCTGTTTCCAATATTCTCTACGAAACCCCCGCTCCCTCCGCCACTCCAGCAAAACGCCATGTCCTTAACTGTCTCGTGCAAAACGAACCCGGTGTTCTATCCCGCGTTTCTGGTATTCTCGCAGCTCGTGGCTTTAACATTGACTCCTTGGTCGTTTGCTCTACTGAAGTCGAAGACTTGTCTCGCATGACAATTGTTTTGTCCGGTCAAGACGGTGTTGTTGAGCAAGCTCGTCGCCAATTGGAAGACTTGGTTCCAGTTTGGGCTGTTCTCGATTACACTACTTCACCCCTCGTACAGAGAGAATTACTTCTTGCGAAGATCAATCTCCTCGGTCCGGAATACTTCGAGGAATTGTTGGCGCATCACAGAGAAATTACTGCTAGTGATCCTGAAGCTTTGCAAGGTCAAGATGATTGGGCTACAAAGCGATTGGCAGAATTGAAGGATAGCGATGATTTCCACCCCGTCAAATTGGCCCAAAGTCAAGCTTTGAGACATAAGCATGAGCATTTGAAGTCGATCACATATTTCACACATCAATTTGGAGGCAAGGTCTTGGATATCAGCACACACAGCTGTATTGTCGAGGTGTAAGTTACCAAACGCTCGATTTGCGCGTGTAAATGTACTAATCATACGTTTTTAGCTCCGCTAAACCAAGTAGAATCGATTCATTCATGAAGTTGATTGCTCCATTCGGAATTCTCGAGTCTGCACGCACAGGTCTCATGGCTCTTCCTCGATCTCCATTATATGGTCCTAACGAACAGGACAACTTGGTGAAGGATGCTGAAGAAATTGTTGATGCAAGTACTTTACCTCCAGGATAGATTTGATGATATGTGGTTCAATGGATATGGAGTTGGCGTCACAAATTATCTAAAATAATGGAGGATAAGATTTATTTCTGCATGCAATTCTGTGTATCATTTATACATCAATAAAAATTAAAAATAAACGACGATGTTTCCAAACGCCAAATCAAAATGCGCCTAATGACCGCAGTTGTTAATACTGCTCCCAATCTATGATCTAACTCATACAATCTTGAGCATTTCGCTCCTCAAAGTCTAACATGAGCACCAATCCCGGAGCCCAAATACCAGATTGTCTCCGTCCATTGACCAAGTCGAAGACCAATTGTGCCCTTCGCATCTAATTTTAGAGTGCCACCTAATGCTCTCTCTACTGCGTCATATCCTACCCCATCAAAAGACCAGTCGACGGGTAATTTGGGCGATTCGCTTGCACCAGGGGGTACTGCGAAAGGATAGTCGTAAACAATTTTGCCAACTGTTTCGGTATGGTTATAAAACGCTTCAGCATCAATAGATTCAATGTAGATTGTGTTATGTCGTAAAGGTGAGAGTAATGTAAACTGTGCTGTTGATGAGAAGAGATGGAAAGTTGCATCATCAATGAAGTGCGGTTTCCCATCATCGGGACCCTTATCGTTCCCAGTCCCAGGCGTCGATAATCGAGGTGTAGGCATCGTGACTGCAAACTTGCTAAGTGCCTTTCCGAGTTTTGGTTGGTATGGAATTGATCCTTCATGAGTTTCGAAAGTAAGAGTCGTATTGAAACCAGAGACATATTGCGAAATTAATTCTCGACCAATTTTGCGCCCCTTTTCACCACCGAATGTCATGGGATCCCAAGTAGCTTCAACAAGAACATTCGTATTATTCCCTCGAGAGACTCTGATATCGCGCACCGTAGCATCACCGATTATTGAGCCGTTATTCAAGATATGGATATTCACGTAAGGAATTCGAGCAGTGTATTCAGTTGGATTAGTGAAGTTGATTTTCGCTTGGAGATTGATTGATGTCCGCCCTGTGTTGAATATCTTCAAGTCGCCAACCTTGAGGTTGAGTTGGTGGAGATCACCGCCCGTAGAGATCGCTGCAATCCCGTCAGCTTCAGTGCAGTTGCGCTGAAATTAATAGGTCCCTAACGTTTCAAGGGAACAACTCCTTCCGCGGGTAAATCTTTAATAATGAAATCACCTAGCACAGTAGATATTTCAACTTCAACCAAAGCATCAATCTTAAGACTAACAGCCTTCCCACCCAGATAATAATCAGCCACGAGATCCCCAAATACATCCTCGTCTGTGATTTCTAGAGGCGCATTTTTGATATGTGATTCGATCTTCAAAGAAGCATCGCCTTTATCATTAACTCGTTTCGATCGAGCTTCCTGCCATTTTTGTAGGTTTAGCACACCTAACTTATCTCCCTTGTAAAATACATCGGCTTTCGCACGAACTTTTGAAACGTCAAGGCTAAAATTCATCTCCTTAGGCAAAGCTGCTAATACCATTATATCCCCAGAAATTCTTGGATTTGACTCGGGCGTTCCAGGCTCCGCAAAAGGTCCAGGTAAGCTGAAATCTGTGTTTGTGAGAGAGAAGTTCTTGATCAATTGATCGAATGTATGACCTGGGAAAGGTACTGGTACAGTGACACTTGATATAATTTGAGTGATCCAATCGGGAGTCTCTGGAGATGGTGCATTTGAACCTCGAACAAAAATGGTGGTGTCATTGCCGTGAATGTAGTCACTGAGAAGTAAATCCAGCGGCGAGGAATGTGAATTGGGGCAGGTTTGCAAAAGACTTTCAGGTAGATCTCGAACGATACCTGCGACGTCAAGGGTAACATCTGAATATGGCTCGATCATGATGTCATCAGTAGTGGCATCAGCGAGTTGAATATGTGGTTCGTCGGCAGCGCAATTCGAAACAAGTATATCGAATCGCATCGGAGGAATACTCAACCTTATTGGGTAGCTATTTACCAAGGATAGCGAGACTTCAGCAGCCATTCCACGATGGCCATCTTTGGAGAGAGGGATCTCCTTAAAGTTGAGACGAGTTATGTTATACTTGGGAATGGCTGGAATTTCATTGCCTATGGGTCAGTTAGCAACTTGATTTCAAAGTGCAAGTTTTACATTGAGAGAGAATCTAGGAAGTGGTGACTGCGCTCGCGGGCAATTTTTTGAATACACCTATAAACTATAGATCGTGTGTATATTGCCCGAAATACAGCCACGAACTTCCTTCAACCGATACTTTTCTCCCCAAAGTACAATGACGCAAAAGAACGATAGAGAGATTGACCTTCAAAAATCATTGACTCGGATATACTCTGAGATCCAAGCGGAAGTAATCCTGACTTCAATGTGACATCGGCCTTGCCCAATACCCGCAACTGTCCCAAACGACCCTCTAACCAGTCATTGGCAACCTGTCTTAATCCATCGACACTTCCTGCTTTAAGATCGGTAACGAAGTCGATTGGTGTGACAACACCATTTTGAATATTTACCACCACCTTGGGCACAACAGCGGTTCCGATGAGAAGATTATCATATTCCGGAAGATAGACCTCGAGGTTCGATTCCTGACTTTCAACCTCTTTCGCGATCCATGTGCCAAATCTTCCAATATTCCTAACAGCATTGTTCTTGACCCTTGAAGCATCCATCTTAAAGTTTACTTGTACGCGAGCTTTCACTCCATTGGCGGTGAAGCTGTCTATCGAGAGGTTCGTAGGCTCGATAACAAGAGATTCTTTGGCATACTCTTCAACGATTGCAGGCGCGAAAAATGCACATATCAGAATGATGATGCCAGCCAAAAACAACATGGTGACGGCGAAAATCGTTGGCCATCGCAAACCTTCATTGGCAGGCTTGCCAGAGTCTCGATTATGGATAGAACGTAGAGATTCTGCCGCTGGCGATACGATTCGACCATCCTCATCTTCGGGTTCTTCGCCATCGTATCGAGGAGTATCATCAGAGTGCGCTAACAAGGGCGATGATTCGTGTGAGTCGCCAGAATTGTCCAAGTCCTGTGAATTGACAGAACGTTGAGAACGCTTCGACGATGGTCGTTGCTCTGGACTGAGCAGGAGTGGAGACCCCGCACTGTCCGACATGATGGAGATAAGGATAATTGATTAAGCTGGTGCCGGTATGTATCACTCGACGCACCGCGCGAGGATGGATCTAATGATATCAACAAAGTGATATTATGTTTGATATCCGGAAGATGATGAAAGTAATGTTTGAGGTGTCTTGAATATTGGAAGGCTGAGTGGGCGTCGTAAGTCTTGTATAGGTTCCTGGGGAGTGTAAGCAGCCGCCACACCGTGCGTTAGCTCAGAACGCCTTATATTAATTGATTGGGCCAACGTAGTAGTTAGTATATTTATGCATGCATTGTGCCTTTGTACCTGAAAATTATGAATTGATGCCAACAACCTTCCTTCCTTCCAAGGTTGTCAAATGTCTCAGAAATATGTATACACTCGGAGGCACTGCTTCGACTGCACATGTACAGGATACACCATATCTTCATCCTATCTTTATATTTCACCAACAAGCAAGAACACGACACGTTCGTCCTACTTTGTATAGATCACATAACTGGGCCATCGTTCTGGCCAATATTAGCCATGCCTAGGATCGAGTGTCTAGAAGATATTGTGTCATCAAGTATGTGATCACTATAGGATATCCTCAATTTCGGGCCAATCCTCACCTGAAATTTCGAACGATGAAGTACCCGGTGTGGTAGGTACAGTATATGGCCGAAATCCTGATGCTATATTCATTACTATGGTATCTGATGCAAGTGCAGAGTCCTCAGCAATAGAACGATGAAGATTTACTCGTCCTTGGTTTTGTATTGCAGTGGAAGTCTGATTACATATAGTGAAACCACGCGGTCTAAGTGCAACGCGGTTGTTCAACAGGGGATATATCCTGAATGAACTCGGTTTCTGGTAGTTTCCAGACCGATGTTCGAGGCCGTCGACTAATAAATTCCAAATCATGAAAGATATTCATAGGCTCCGCGGCAATGTCACGATAATCTCTGCAGATTTGTTCGCGGCTGTCATAGAATTGTCTTGCCTTTCCTAAAGTTTGTGGTGGTCTCATCAAGGATTTTATCAGTAATTTCTTCGAGTTCTAAAATTACTTCCATGAATGACTCCCATACTATTCCATGAATGACTCCCATACTATTGCTCCTTAGAAACTCTCCGATTCCAGCTTTCTATTCACACATATTGAATGACCAATGGTTTAATGACAACATTAGTCACTGTGCAGACTCATTGTCTATTAAATTTATGACTCGTAATAACATCCATTGACTCTTCGGAGCACTCGAGTATACTTGAACACATACAAGCTATCCTAGTTCTTCTTCCCTCGCTCTCCCCCGTACACAAACATACTACAATCCATCAAATCCACACAACGCAAAAACAAAACATCAAAACTTACTTTATTGTATCTGCTGTCTCCTCTATCACGCCAATTTTTCTCTCATCGATCAACATCTACCTCGATTTATCACGCTTCAATTTGCAGCAGGCATTAACCAATCAAGGTCTATCCCCACATTCCGTGGAATTAGTTCAGTAGGATCTACCTCTGCTTGATAGCTAATTCATTAGACTAACCAAGTAGTTATTAGAGACATGGAATATACTGAAAATCACAATACTCTCGTCCATAATTTCAAGGACCATATGCGATCTTACGATTCGAGAGGACCCGAGCATCCTGGGAGGGCATTAATTCCAGGGTGGCGTCGAGAAGCTCAACTGAAATTCCTTCTTCGAATTATACAATCTTACAATTTAGAGCTTTGTTGCTACAAATGGGAGGGCAACGTAGAGGTCTTAGATATCGAAAATGATATGTACGAGAATATCAAATCGTTAGGAAATGATGGATATTTACCTACAGATATTGTCGAGTTAGCGGAGCGCCTTCAACGTGATGCTCGACCGACAAGAGGCATTTTTCGGCTGTTTCAATTCGCCTACCAGGTGGTTACTGGCTCGGATTTCAACTTCATTCAACCCTATAGGTGGTGCGATAAAATGGCCGCAACAAATCGCATCAATGGTTTAGACAGCAAGGTTTTGGATGATCATGATAAGGCCAGATATAATGCTCTCGTCGATTTGAAAAATCACTGTCAGCCAGATCGTGGCCAAAACGACAACGCAAACAGCTTGAAAAAACTACTTGATTGGGCAGAAAGAGGCTTGAAAAATGCTCCGGGTAAGGGGTCGTCGCCCTCAGATCCTGCAATAACTGAGAAAGAAGCCGAAGAGCTTCGGAAGCGATTGAATGCTTATAAACGAGAGGATGCAGAGAGATTTAAGGCAGAATCAGGTACGATCTATAAAGGCGATACAGAATATTGCTAACCATATACAGAGCGCAAAGCTCGTCGGCATTAAGTCTATGACGTCAGAAGACTTCTGGGGGAATAATGGAGCTCGAGGTTGATATTTTTTAGATGGTGGATGACTGGGATTCGACTTTTGCGTGACTTTGATAGTACCCCATAGCTAAATGGAAACTATCCTCAAGACCTCATTACAATATTGTGAATTTTTTCTATTGTTAGTAAACATTTTTAGTGACTCTACGTTCGAATGAGACTTGGCAATAAAATGCCGGCCGACTTTCATTTTTAAGCTTTGTGCTGTACAACCTTGCGAATGATACTCAACCTTAAAGACTGATAGACTCTATTTTGTCTAAGACGTAGATAGATGGGGGCCTAGATAGAGTAGAGGCTGGTGACCTGATAGATTTATGTAGAACGAGTAAAGAATAAGTGAAACGAGGATTGGGTAACTGGCATACATAATTATCTTGAGCGAAGTTCTTTCACAAGCCAGCGAAACCCAAGATGTCTAATTTATACCATCATATATAACAAACAAGATCCAAATCGCACAACTAGTCATCGAAGTATCCCCAAGAGACCATCAAAATGATATCCTGGAAGAAATGATATTTTTGCATTGTACCAAGTGCGATCACCTTCATAAACATCATGTCGCAAGGTCGCTTTAGCGAAGGGGCTAGGATGGATCACATGGAGTGGGGTAAATCCCACGTCTGCGCGTCCATTTGATGTAGACATAAAACTAAAATACCTATTATGACAATATAATGATATTAACACCATGGTACCAAGGATTAGCACAATATCCAATATCAGGGCTTGCCTTTCGAACATTACCTTTCGTAACTACAGTTCTTTTCTCTCAAACCCGCCACCGTATCACCGAACAACCTCTTCATAACCAACCAAACCTCAACCCTTCGCTGTAGGGAAGTACTTCATGGACATTCTGGCCGAGCATATCAAATAGAAGGAATCTTATCCGAGAGGTTAAGCCCCATGCTATATGTTTACCGAGCAAGATATACCAACACTCACAACCTCATTAATATTCCATCATTCCACAAATCATAAAGCTCATTTTTATATCCAGCGTTGAGGGGAAGAAATTCGTCATCAAGAACTGTCTCAAGGGTGATTTTCAATATCAACAAGAGCTTCAGGAACCTTTGGCTTCACATCCCAATTTACGGACATTCATAGATGCTATACCAAATTTCGAATTATTTGTTATGATTTTCTCAAGGACAATCTTGTTCAGTTCTGCCAGAGAAATTTGTCTGTAGAGACTAGGAAGGGTGTTTTGAAAAGTGCTCTGACTGGATCAGCTGAGATGCATGATAAATTCATCGTTCATGGAGGTATGGATATTTTTTATGGTATCCGTCGTAAGAGTAATGGCATGGCTTAAGGGTCAAGAATTAAAATCATACCTTGACATATATCAAACCAAGCAATATTCTCATTGACTATGAAGAAACAGCCGACAAGCTTCTTCACATCAAAAGCGTCCGCGTCTCAGACCTAGAGAATTCTATCATCCTCTCTCTTGGTAAAGGAGTAATCGACGGTAAACTTGACAATCAATTCTGGCGCAGTCCCGAATCTTGGTGCAAAGCAAAGCAAAGCATTTCTTCTGACGTCTTTTCTATGGGCATAGTTGCCATCTACATTATGGATCCACAGATATTATTGTATAATGGTTTGAAAAATGAGGATTTAGTCGATCGCGAAGCATGGAATCAGATTTTAATGGGGCACATCTCGTTTTTCTGGGACAAAGATGACTATCTCGCGTTTCTAGATCACATCGGGGAGGATAATCCGTTCTTCGATCGTGGCAGCGATATGGCCAATGACTTTAAGGGCCCGATGACACCTGTACGGAAATGGTCGTATCTTGATGCAGAGTTTACAGATGTGGTTGTGAATCTGGCGAGGTTAGATCCTGAGAGTAGGCTCAGTACAAGAGAGGCTTTAGAACATCCGTTCTTTGATTATGACAGTACATTTTAGTCAATAAGTAACAATGAAGTAGGAGTCAATTTCGGTATGAGGTTCAAAAAAACATCATGAGAGTCTGTAGGAGGCCAAACGAATACTAGGCAGATACTGTCTGATTGATCGAATTCTTATAGATTTTTTCAGATAGTTATGAATAGAAATTTCTGGTCGTCTTGAAAAGCCTAGGTGATTGGTTTGGCCAGTCGGCCTGACTCAAGTGAGGCCGTCATTACATTTCGCTCGAAATAAATGCTATAGAAAGGAGCATCATATCCCAAAGGAGACTTTGACTCCATTCCTACTCTCCATCTGCAACTTATGCTGTTCCACAAACCTCTCCTTAAGATCACGGTTCTCTAGACTCGTGAACGTTTTTGCAAACCTCACTAAAATATAAACACATTCATTGAGCACCATTTGCTGTGCAGGACAAACTCGATCTCCCTTGGAGAACGGAATATACGCCCGAAGTTGCGCGGTTCCAAGCTTCTCCCATCTCTCTGGCCTAAATTTATCAGCATCCGCGCCCCATAGATCCTTATCCAGATGCATAGATCTAAATATGTAATTGACTTCGGTTCCACGAACAACTAATACTGGATCTTTTCCATCTAGTCCTCCTCCAGTAGGTAAGATGCAATCTTCGCCACATGATCGTATACTTCTTCCAGAAGGTGCAAGTATACGTAGACCTTTGGCATATTGAGTTAGCAACATCATCAACGCGACAATCATCTGATAAGTGAACTCACTTTCATTCACAATAGCCTTTGCATATCTCATCTGCTTTAACGACTCGTAGGTTAGAGGTCCGTCATAGTTCGACACCTCATTTTGAAGCCGATTCCACACTTCAGGATGCCTTGCCAAGTGGAAGAAGACGTTTCCAACAGCAATGGCAGTTTGATCTCGTGCTGGAAGAAAGATATTGAGCAACTGAGAACGGAGTGAAACACGGTCTTTTGTCGTTTTCAATAGCTCATCTAAGAGAACAAGTCGTCTGTTTGGGCTTGGGGAAATGGTAGGACTGGAAGGTTCTTTCGCTTTTTCTATCGCTCTGTCAATTTGCTGGTCGACAAATGTGTAAATCTCGTCACGAGCCTTCTTCCAAGACCTGTCTAAGCTTTGCAGAAAAGCAAACTTTCCCAAAGCGACCCGCAAGCCGATGCCTTTCAAGGTTGTGTCAAAAGCTGCGAGAAACCTCTCGGTGTCAAATCTGCCTTTTCCCGGTTCTAAGGTATTGATCGAATTACCAAAGATCAATTCCGTGGAGGTATCAAGAAACTACATGTGTCAGTTAGATTAACCAAATTTTCATTCTAGGGGCGTCATACAAGTCGTTTCAACAAGGGCAACAAGTCCACAGTGGTACCATCATGCGGTATCATAGCAAGTAGGATATCCATACGCTCTGCTAGGACGTCTAGATTCGATATTTGTGCCCTTGCAAAGATCGATTTCGAGGCAAGGTGAGCTTGCTTCCATGATGAACCATCTGTATTAAAGATTCCTCGTCCTAAGAAGCATTCTGTAGCATACAGCCTAGAAGGCTCTACTATGAATTTCTTCTGCGACCTAACAAGGATGGTGTGTATGTTTTCTGCATCCATTGTGTAGATGGCCTTTTGGCCCCAACTATTGGCTTCGAAGGTCTTGCCATGCTTATCAAACAAGGATTGGAAAAAAGCAAAGTTGTTTCCATTCGAGATACTCTTCACTACACCCACGAACAAATCGATGCCCCAAACAGGATCTTTGTGTGAGTAATGACGTGGTCTGGAACAGTTATGCTTCTGTCGAATTCGTTCCTGTCTTCTGCCCTGGACCAGCTTGCTGAAGAAATGAAGAACGATGATGGCAACTACAATGCATAAAGAAGTACCGTGGTTGAACTCCATGTTATGTATCGAAGATTGACTCAAGTATAATTCTTCGAGATGAGGAGGCGCATTGGTCGGTATTTTGATTTTTGGGTCAGAGACCGTATAAAAAGTATCAAGTATGGACAGTGAGCTTAGAAGACCAAATGAATAAACATCAATATTCGTAAGAAGTAAGAAATAAGATCGCTTCTATATACTGAGATATAGTAGTGGCTCTGTGAAGTTTGGTCTCGGTCTCTTTTTCTGCTCGCCAACCTGAAGTGGTCATAACACCGAACCAACTGTTTGGTAAATGAGTCGTTCAGGACCAAATCGCTCAGAAATACTGACTATAAGCACTGTACTTTTCCTGATGAAGGACTGTACGAAGATTCGCAGGGATGTATGAATGTACTATGACAAGTTGGTGACATATTTCATTTGGAAGAGTCCAATAATTGAACTCACTGCACCAACACTATCGAACATCACCAACACCCCCCATCATTGATTACATTGCAATATTGCTGCAACATACTTATCTCGTAAGAATGATATGCCGACAGCAAACATCTACATTGAGTGTGTTGCATCGCGTTGAGTTGGACGCGGTCCTAATTTCAAAAGTGGAATACTACGGAACGATCATCGCGGTCTTTATTTGCATCATATTTTACACTGATATACATATCAAAAAATCTTGTTACCCATTTTCAGGTATACCAATCCTATATAAATCCGGCATGATGGCATTTAGCTGCCTCTCATCTGGCTGCCATCTTCCTCTTATATCTCTCCACACCTCCACTGCCCTCGCCTGACCAGAGCATGTCGCGAAAGCCTTGAGCACATTCGTTACGATCCAAGTCGACATGTATATACCTTCCACACCTTGGTCGAGGGCTTTCAAATATGCTTTCCACACACTTTCCAATCTGGCAGCCGTCCACTTCGTGTATCTAGTACCACCATGAATACAGAATCCCTTGAAAAGAGAGAGGAAAAGTGCACCGTGCAAGGGAACGTTGAAAAGGCCCATTTCTTCTAGAAACTTAGCCGCTTTGTCTAGCTCGCCTTCTGTAACTGCAAAATGATTGACCAACAGCCTATAGGTTTGAATATCCGGACAAACAATGGAGCTCTGTTGAGCTTTCGCTCGGCCTTCTGGATCATGCTTGAATTCCAACGCCATTCGTAACAACGCGCGCTTGACTTCTCTGCGATTCTTGAAATGCCTGTGCCATTCCTGTGTGCCCGAACGTTCCGCATGCATGATTTTCATTCGCTCATAGATATTTAGCGCAGCGCTTGGCTCATATGACTTGATAAGAGCCGAGATCATTGCGTTGAGAACAACGGTATCGACAATTTCTCCAGCATTGACTAACGCTGCATATGCTGCTCGCGCTCCATCACCGTCGCCTTTCAGACCACAAGTAAATATCATGCTGACATAATGAAATCGGTTGTACTCGAAGCCCCTGGCTATCATTTCCTTGTAGATCATTTCGCCAAGGGTAAATTTGCCGGCTTTGCATGCGACATCATAAAGAACATTGAATGTTGCATAATTGCCTCTGACACCTGCGATGTGCTCCATTTCCCTCCACAGTTTCAAAGCACTTTCGACCTCTACATCTGTGGCCTTGGCAACGTATTTGGAAGCAAAAGAAATGGCACTTGTCCATTCCGAAACACTTAAAGGAATAGCTGTTGATTTCATATCGTCGACAACCGAGAAGTACCTGAGCATCGAGTGCTCGTCTTTCCTTTCTACGATACTCAAGTGGCGAAGTAACATATGTCTTAGGTTGGCTTCTAGATAAGGAACTCGAGGTTCTGGCAGTTCACGGTAGATTTGATATATATCTTCCGCCTCATGGGAGTAGAAATTCTTCAGTGCAGATTCCAGCTCTTTGAGCTTCTCTTTCGTTTCGTCATCGGCAGGCCATGCCTGATGAGTGGGTGGCCATTCATCTTCCTCTTCATCCAAAATTTGTAGGTGGGGAGCGTAACCTGGCTGGTGAAGGTCTGGAGATTCCATGACGGGTAATTGATGTGTATACGAAGTCCCATGGTACTGATCCACAAGCTCCATGAGCTCCTCTCGAGTCTGATTTGCCTCATTCGTGATCTTCTTTTCGTCCACCGCAGATTGTGTATTATATGTATAATTTCGACCCTGCGTATTGAGTTTGGTTGACCGCAGATCCTTCGTAGATATGTTAGGTCTGTGAGAAGTGAAAAAAGTTACCGGTTGTAAAGGCTTTGGGGTGTGTTTGTGGCAATGGCCTGCACTGGCAAGTGAGGAAATAAACCATGCTTCGAGTCCGACTGTACTTGAGACCATTTGTATAGGTTTCCTGAGATGATGTCGTCGGGAAGACTTCGTGGAAGCTTTTGGGATGTCAATTGGATATAAAAAGGAAAGAGCTTGTCGAGGGGCTGCTAGCTTCGAGATGAGGGTGCTGCTCGTCGAGGAGGAGATACAAGAGGAGGACATGAGCCGGCTGACATTTTGAGTTTTTGTCAACGTCTCTGAAAAGTCATTGGAGCCAGGCCAGCCCTCCAGTCCTTATCTGCCGTTGTGGTTGACTTGGGAGCTTGTGGGGGGTTGAGGATTGATATGTTGAAAACTTTAGGACTTATCGCCAAAATTTCCAAAATTTTGGCGGAGATTGCCGCCAGACTTCAAAAACCTATCAATATTTGCGACCCAGAACACCACCACCCCCGCAATATTGTTCATAGATTACTTTGAGATTGTAAGTTCGATATTTTGATTGAGTGAAATAGATCCTAACGTTTCGAAAGTTCTGCGAGTATGAGGGGCCTCAATTTAAAGCCATCGCGCGTTTACCAAACGGCATCGGCATTACTCGCATCTGAAAGTATCTCCCAAGCACCACCATGGTATAAGACAATCGGCTCAGTACCCCCTTCTGAAATCCTCACACGGACGCAACCTGTTCAACACCGAGGAAGCAATGGCAGACCTAGGACGAAAAAAGCTAGCAAGCTATTCAAACCACAAACTATTGTATACGAGGAAGATCGAATAAGACAAGAATTCTTCCGTGATCATCCATGGGAGTTAGCAAGACCTAGAGTTGTGCTGGAGGACGATGGACGTGATGGGCAAAGATGTGA